TGTTCAATTTTTTCTATTCCTCATACAATTCAAAAATACAAAAAGATTTTTTTTCACGTAAAATAAGGAGCTAATATATTCACTACTCCTTACTTTCCGTATTTTTTTTATCTTTTACATATTTATCTTTTATTGTAATAAGTTTGAAAGTTGCAATTAATTCACCCTATTAAACTCCTACTATCCCTAAAACTACTCTACTACCTCACCATATAAACCGTCACTTTTTCTCACCCTTCCCAATTAAACTCTTTTTCCTTTAACACTCCACCCTCATCAATCACATCAAATTAACTTCTCCATATACCCTCATAAAAACCGGCCTCACTCTCTCTCCTTCCTATTCACACTATTCATCTTCTCTTTCCTTTCAACTCACCTTCATAACCATGAAAACCAATCTAAACTCAACGCCGAAACCACCAAAAACCCGGAAGCCTTCCTCTGCTGGCGGCTCCCCTGAACCAGTCCCACTTGCCGTCGTTCACCCTCAAGCTCCGACAAAGAGAAAGGCTACAACCGTGAAAGGAGGTGACAGAAAGAGGCGAAGCTCTCAAAAGCTTCCATCTTGGAACTACACTCACGGCTATCACATCAATTATGACTGGTGTACGGCAAGTAAGTTCTCCGAATTCATCTCCTTAATTGATTATCAAGAATGGGTGCAGTTGTTCCAAAATTGTTCTCACTATCCAATTTACCCTAAGCTTTTGTTTGAATTCAAAAATACTTTCAAACACAACAATGGTGTATGCACGGCTACAGTCAAAGATACTCACATTCATTTTGATGTTGAATATTTAGGGAACTTGTTTCAAGTCCCCACCTCTGGCTATAGTTCGTACCTAAAACACAAACAAATTGTGCAAATTGGGCATTATGATGAGAATAGAATAATCAAATTTATAGGTGGAAACCCGAAAAGCAAGACTTCACATCATAACATACTCACTCCTCTTCACAAATTATTGTTCAATTTCACATGGAGAGGCATTGTTCCTCGTTTGCAAAAACGAAGCACAGTATCCTTACTAGATGCAACCATCATCTTTTGTCTTGCTCGGAAAATAAAACTAAACTTTCCAAAATTGATGATTGAACATTTGGTTTTCTATGCTACTAAAACTACTATTCCATATGGACCTCTCCTCACTGTGTTGTTTAAGTCTTTTGGGATTGATGTTGAAAGTGAGTCACCCACTTATATTAAACCTGAGAACATTCTCTCGGAGCAATCTTTGCTTCGCCTGAGCCTTAAACTTGAGAGTGGGATAATTACTTTCTTGACTAGAGGAGGAGAGGAGAAAAATCGTGGAAAAGTGAAAACACAGGTTGTAGAGGGAGATACAAGTGAGTCAGAAGAGGAGGAAAGTGAATCTGAAAAAGAAGAAAGTAAAGAAAAACGAGAGGAAGACAAAGAGGAGGAAGAAATTTCTGAGGGGGAACCACAGGAGGCAGATTCTGAGAAAGAAGAGGAGACTCAGAGTGAGGGGGAATCTAGCTTAGAAAGTGAGAGTCTTGACCTCCCTTATACAGGGGGACTAAGGAGGAGTAAGAGGAAAATTGTCAAACCTGCTACTTCTACTCTAAATCCTGTGATTATTGAAGACATTAGTTCTTCTGATCACTCAGACCCTGATTTCACCCCTACACAAGTTCCTTTTGCTTCCGAGCCATCTCCTGTTCATGACTCCCCCCCAATACAAGCTCAACCCTCTTCCACTCCTGTTTCACCTCCAAAACTGACTTCTCCCTCTCCCTCCCCAGCTTTTCCTACATCACAGCCTACAGGCTTTGCTGCCTTCTCTGGAACAAATGCTTCTGTTTTTGATATTCAACAGGTGAAAGCAGAAATGGAGTAGCTGATAAAGATGGTGTGCACAAAGCTGGAGGACATGGAAAAGCATCTGGCTTCTCTTCAACGCCAAGTGCAGGTTGTGGCAGATGCTCAGGCAACCAGTTTTACTGGGATGGAGAACAAAGTTGATGCTGCTGAGAAGAACATACTGCACAACACTCAGGAGATATTGGAGACGATTAACAGGGTGGCTTTTGAAGAAGTGGAAGAAGCTTCTAATGACCCCATAACCCCAGCTGATGAACCTACCTATTCCCCATAATTGCAATTTCGAACTTGTTACTTTTCATTTATTTTGCTTGTTTCATTCGGATTTCAGTTTGTAACTCTTAACTTTTGTTACTCTTTCCTGCTTTTAATTTTCGTCTATGGGAACTTGGCTCGTATTTTTCATATGATTGTGTGTGTTTGCTGATGATTTAGTACCTAACTTATTTTTGCCTTGCATTATTTGAGCTCACTATTCCCTACGTAGTCTAGTGGGAGTATAGCAAAATGTTTTTTTCAATCTTTTGATAATGCCAAAAGGGGGAAAAGACAAACTTCATGGCGGCTAAGGTGTTTACCAAGGAACTCACACATCGAAGGTACAAACTTTTTCTAAGTTCCGTTAACTCAATAAAGTCCTAAGTCCTAGTAATCTAAGTTTTTAAAGTCTTTGTTAATTTTTTCTTTTGTTCAGTCTTTTTAAAATAAATACTTTTTAATATTTTTCTAAGTTCTTTAATTACTCTGTTGTTTTCATGTCTTGCTTTAAATTTTTGTTGCATGCCTGGATGATTTTATTTACCTAAGTTTGTCAATGTTTGTCATCATCAAAAAGGGGGAATTTGTTGAGCCTTTTGGTTTTGATGGACAAATTGACAAACTCGACTAATGAATGTTTTGAGTCTTTGGTGAATAAAGGGTTCAAGCAAAGTTCGTTCCGGAGTAGGAACTTGGATGCGGAGTAGCATTCTCTAAAAAGCCTCGTGCAAATCTCACGTTCTAGTTTTAATTGTGAGCACTCAATAATATAAAGTCGGAAAGGAACTCAATGACTTATGTTATTAAAAAGACTACTGGAATAAAAGTTAGTTTTAAAAGATAATTTCTTAAGGAAAAAGATAATTTATAAAAGTTTTATCTAGTCATCTAATTTTGAATAAAGATAATTATCGAAGATAATTATCTAGTTGTTTTAATATAAATAATTAAATTATCTTTTCAAATAAAATCCTTTTTAAAATAAAATCTTTTTAAAACAAACTTTTGATAAAGTTAGCAAGCAGTTTTCCTTGTGAAAATCTCTGATTATACGGCTAATGTTTATCAAGTTGTTGAGATAGTGGATTAGTGAGATAAGGCTAGGAAACCTCCTTCATGATCACCATCTGTCAAGATAACTCCACAAGTTGTTAGTGGGGTGTTGACATGTGGACGTGATTATAGTGGAGGTTAATGACTAAGCCTTCTCTATAAATACTCATGCAAACTATCTCAGCAAAACACAACTCTTGAGCATAAAAATTCCAGTAGTCATCTAATAACATAAAGAGAGTTATTTTCCTTCATATATTCTTGAGTGCAATAGGTATTTGTAATCACAGATTGTATTCAAGTACTTTGGGGTTGGGATTGTGAGTTTGTAAAGTGAGGTCAAGGAAGCTTCGCTGCTGAAGTCTTCTGTGAGAGTTGGGAACAAGTTCCTAATTTGTGGAACTTGTTAACGGGTTTGAATCTTCACTTGTAAAGAGTTTGATTACATAGTGGAAATTTAGAAAAGCCTATATCTTCTCTCGTCATTATTTCATTTAGTTAAATTCCGCAAAAGTTTTTAGATTTCACCTCAAATACAATTCACCCCCCCTCTTGTATTAGCCAGTTAGACTTTCACATTTTAATTTTCTCTCTCTTCCCACGTCTTCTGTTTGTGAATTTTGGATAAACCATAAACGTGAAGGATTTGAAGTACTAATAATACTTAGTATAATCTAGAAATGGATAATTATTGTTTATCTAAGCTTTTAGCTTAATTATGCCCCACATCTTATCTGTCCTAAGCTTAAGTCTTAACGACCTAACATAACAGACCATGATTTGAGTTGAGTTTTTTTGTATTGGGTTGGGTCGATTCACCGGTCTGGCTCGATTTTGATTGGGTCGTTTTCGGGTTACGGCCTAATTGCATATAAGGGCAACTTTGAGTATGTCACTATGTCTTACTTGAGTAAACAAACACCAATATGGCAATATCGTACGAAGTATAATATAAACAACTCGTGTAATTACAGTAATACAAACAACATAATGGCTTAATAGGGTAAGTAACAAATGGATGAGATTTGATTTGATTATCCAAAGATGAATTCTCGACACTATTTATAAAAGGATCCCGAGATGTTAAATTGGTGATTGAAACAATCTCGTACAATTCTTCACTACAAAATAGTCAAATAATTGAGCTAAACTCATTCTCAGGAGATTAATCACCTATTGATAGGCTTGAGATCACCCCATGGGACGATACACACATTCACTTCAATTTTGGGAAAATTCCCCGAAATTGGTCCGAAAGCATGGATTATAGCCTTTAATTTTTGATAACTTTCGACGTTTTCAAACCCATGAAAGAAAGAGGTCATGGTGCTTCATATAGACTTCATGTCTCCTCAAGAGGTCATTTAATTTGGTGGTTGAAACACTAAGCATATATATCATCATCCCATGAGTTTACAACACCTATCTCGAAATCTTCAAAAACACCTCATTTTGTGTATTATAGACTTTAAATTTGGCATCCATAAAACATATATTTGAGTTGAAAAGATTTTGCATTGAGATGCTTCCCGAACTTTCCAAAGAGCTTAAGTAGGCGCATTTAGTGTGCGAAACCATCTCAATCATGCATTTGGGCATCTCATTTTTGCCTTGGGCCACTCTTTGTTAATATGTCTTAAGATGTCTTCCCTAGCCTTATCTTGCCAATATTGCTTTATCTTGACTTATGTTGTCTTGCCTTTCTTGCTTGGGCCACGAGGCAAGCTAAGACGCTATCCTTAATTGCCAAAAATAGGTGTTTTTTTTAGGATGAAATATTTTTATATATTTTTTATCCTTACGTTTGTGTCTTCTGACATGCGTTGAGAGTTTTATTATACGAGTAGATAAATCTAGTATTAGTATGTGGCACCATACTTAATAATATAGTAACATACATAAAAAAAATCTCTTTACAACAACTTAAAAATAAAAGTTGGCCATTCTTTGATAACGATAGTATTCATGCGAGCAACTTTCTACTAGATCTAGATCTCACCCCAAACAAATCAACGATAAACCCTAAAATCAGCACAAAACTATAAAAATAGAAATCTCTCCATTAATGGAATAGACAAACCTTAATGTCTAATGTCTATATATTATTCTTTCCCTCTCGAAATTGAAGAAACTTAACCACCGACTATTCTTACTCTACTCTTCTTCACCCTTCTTTCCCTTTCATTTTCTTTCTCCTTTCTCTCTTTCCTACCTGTCCTTCTATCAATTTGACACCCACCTCTTTCACCTCTTAAATCCCCATTCAACTTTTTCCCATTTTTTTTTTCTATCTCACTTCACTCAATAATTATAGAAATCTCAAAAACCCCAAATACCCACCTTCTAAATCCCTCAAAAATCTAAAAAAAGTTCCTAAATTCATAATATTTCCATTTATTTCTTCCTCATTTCACTCCAAAATCATACATTTCACAAAACCCACCTTCTAAATCCCTCTAAAAATCATAAGTAGTTCCAAAGTTTTCTCATTTCACTCATATAAATCTCAAAAAACCCACCTCATAAATCCCTCCAAAAATCTCATTTAGTTCCTAAATTTTCTTAATTCACTCATATAAATCTCAAAAAACCCACAAAAACCCATCTTCTAAAATCCCTCAAAAATTAGTACAAAAAAACAATGAGTTCTAAAATGGTAGCTTCAACACCTTCATTAAGTGAAGGAATCATCAAGAAAATCATCTTAACTTACACATACATATCAATATGGTTGTTTTTTTCATTTAGTGTAATAATCTACAACAAATACATCTTAGACAAAAAGCTCTACAATTGGCCATACCCAATTACACTAACAATGATTCACATGTCATTCTCTTCAATCTTATCATTCCTTCTTGTTCGTGTGTTTCATGTTGTTGAATCTCCACTTCAAATGACGAAATCAATGTATATTTCATCAATTGTACCAATTGGAGTACTCTTTGCTCTGTCTCTTTGGCTATCAAATTCAGCCTACATTTACCTCTCAGTTTCATTTATCCAAATGCTGAAGGCTTTGATGCCTGTAATCGTGTACTCGATTGGAGTTATCTTGAAGAAAGATAGCTTCAAGACGAACACAATGGCTAACATGATATCAATTTCAATTGGGGTTGGGATTGCCGCCTATGGCGAGGCGAAATTCGATGTTTATGGAGTGATTCTGCAATTGGGTGCGTTGATTTTTGAGGCAACAAGATTGGTTTTGATCCAAATCTTGTTAACTTCAAAGGGTATTCAACTAAACCCAATTACTAGTTTATATTATATTGCACCTTGTTGCTTGATTTTCCTGACTATTCCTTGGCTATTCGTCGAATACCCGGTTTTAAGGGCGCAAACTAAAGGATTTGAGTTCGATTTTGTGATCTTCGGCTCAAATTCTTTGATTGCATTTGGGTTGAACTTGGCTGTTTTTCTTCTAGTTGGGAAGACTTCGGCATTGACTATGAATGTTGCTGGTGTTGTTAAGGATTGGTTGTTGATTGCGTTTTCGTGGTCTGTGATTAAAGATACAGTTACTCCGATTAATTTGTTGGGTTATTTGTTGGCGTTTTTGGGTGTTGTTTATTATAATCGAGTTAAATTTCAGAGTTTGAAGGCTTCTGAGGGTCAAGCTCATCAAAAGAAAGATAATGTTGTGGATTATGCTAAGATTAATGATGATGAAGAGAGTGTTAAGAAGTTGTTGGATGATAGAGATAGTAATGGTGCTAAGAAAGATGATTCTTAGCACTAAATGAATGATTATAACTCGATTTTGGATCGATTTATGGGTGTTTGGGTCGTGTTGATGTTTGGTTTTAGCTCGAGTTTGGATTGTTATATTGTATACGAGTACAATGCAGGATGATTGCATAACATGACTAGAGGATCAAATTAGCTTGTACTTGTACGGGTTGATCGATTTGTGTTGGTGCCAAATTCAAAGTTCGTTGTGTTGTCATGTCGGGTTAGAGATTTAAAACTCTAAAGCTTGGTGTTTTACGGTTAAATCTATCTACATGTACAATGGAGTATATTGGTTATTTGGTATTAGTCTATTAGATGGTTCAAATCTTAAAGCACATTGCAATGTCATTGCAAAATATTTCCATTAATGCTTCTTATAAGAGCTCTTTTTTCTTTCATTTAATGTATTAGTTAAACTTTTCAATGAATTGATGGTATAATAGTAAAATAAAAACGAACTCTTCAATGATTTATTGATTTTTGTTTTTCTTTCCAAGTTATTACCAATATTTGCTAGTTTGCTACTCTATTGTTAATGACTTATAGTCAATTACTAATGTACTACAATGGAATAGATAACATTATTCAAGAATTTAGTAATTTTTTTATATAATTATATGACCCTTTTTTTTTCTTTGAAACCTAATTATACGACCTTAAGTAAACTAAAATGATTGTTTATTTTAAAATTAGTGTAATTTTCTATGTCAAAAACAAAGTATTACTCCGTGCTATTTGAAGAAGAATTGTTGAAATGGTAGGACCAAATAATTTAGGCAAATAATTGCATATCAATCTCCCCAACTGTACAAATTTGTTAATTGACACTGATTTTGGTGTTTTACTTGCTCCTTGAAAAGTGTGAACTCATGTCTGACTGTTACACATGCAAGATCTACACAGTTAAAACTTAAAGTTAAATTTAGAATTTTCTTTTTTAAGGAAACAAATTATCCCAACTTTTTTTTTTTTTTTTTTTTTTGACATAAATCCCAACTTTTGTATGCTAAACCAAAATATTTTCAACTACACTATACTGAGTACTATTTTTTTTGTTATGTCCAATATGGAACAAATAAAAATGATTATGAAACATATCATTTACTAGTACTACCATTGAGCCTACGAGATTAAGCCAAAATTGAAACGCACCATCTTATACAAGATCATGACTTTATCGAAAATGTTCTCCTAAAACAAATAATGGATGGTATTTATGAGCCGAATAGAAAGTTTGATCTATAACTTAAAAAGCCTATCAAACTCTATAATTTTTTTAGTATAAAGAGAATTAAAAGAGCATTGGTGTAGACGAAATATGATCTCAAGTATTGAATACCACCTTAAATTTTGAACCAACTAAACTAGTTAACAATTTAACATTCACATTTAAGCTCTTAAAATACAATGTTACATGTCTAAGGGCCTGTTCACATTTACTTATTTTCAGTTCAGTTCAGTTCAGCTCCAATTAGTTCAGTTCAATTCAGTTCAGCTCCAATCAGTTCAATTCAGTTCAGTTTAGTTCCAATCAGTTCAGTTTAGTTCAGTTCAGCTCCTAATTTCCCTCTCTAATAAAATATTCATTTCAGCTCAATTCAGTTCAGTTTAGCTCAGTTCAGTTCCAATCAGTTCAGTTCAGTTCAACTCCAATCAGTTTAGTTCAGTTCAGTTCAGCTCAGTTCAGTAAATGTGAACAGGCCCTAAGACATTCTTGCAACTAAGGAATACTTGTATTATTTTTTCTAATACTTTGAATTTTTTATACTACTACTATACGTTAAGTTTCTAGTTGCAAAGCATATAATTGCTTTTCATAAAGAGTTGCTAAAATTTGCATGGAAGCATGTGATTTTCTAACTAATTAAATAATTCCCTTTATAGAAAGTTAAAAGTAGGTTGATTGGATCTCTCTTTTTACTCTTAATCCTGACTGGGAGTATGTATTATTGTAGATTATTGCACATTTAGTCCGTATTTGGTGCATATTTTTTCTTGGTTAGGTGAAACTATTTGTCTTTTTTTGCATTGTCTCAGATATTTTATCATGTGACGTTCAAGTAAATTATAAAAAGTACAATATTCCAGCACACTCAAACTACCACAAATCCAGAGTTTTATCGTTTCCTTTTATAGTCAATTATCAAATTAATTATAGAATTCCCTCAATTATTTTATAGAAACTATTTACTAGTGGGCTGGCCTTATCCATGTGTGCATAGAAATTGCTTTGGAGACTAGGCATGCATTGGACTTTAGCATTTCTAGAGATGGCATAGTGGTCTTAAAGTAGCCCATTAAGAGGCCTAATACATACTCAGAATCGTGCATTTCTAGAGATGACTTAGGACCTGTTCTGAAGAACTGAACTGAGCTAAAATGAACTGAATTGAACAAAATTTATTAGAGCTGAACTGAACTGAATATTTTATGAGAGAAGGATTTAAGAACTGAACATAACTGAAATTAACCTGAACATAACAGGCCCTTAGTGGTCTTAAATTAGTGGTATCCAAACAATGTGTATTGAGCCATTGATAGATGTACATACTCATCATTAGACATGGAGTGTAAAAAAGAAATGGTCGAAGTAGTAGATTATAGAAAAAGCACAACATGATACATCAAATCTAACCGGACTAAATTTGCCCTAATTAAAAAATTGATCTGATCTAAATTTTGACTTTACATGCTACAATGATTTAACGTGGCTCAAACCCGAACTACACTCGACCCAACCATACATGACCAATGACCCGAATTGACACTTCTTCCATCTAGTAGTTTTTTCTTCTAGATAAATCAATGAATTATTGCTTCAAAATGATTAAATAACTTTGATGATATAATTATGTAAATGCCAATGTAAATTCAAAGAGTAGTGCTCCACTAAACATATATAGATTGTATCATTGGACATCATGATTTTGTTTCTCCAGTAAAGTTTGAGAAAGTTACGGGCAGAAGAATTGAATAAACAAGTTTTGCAATAAATTTAAAATATGTGGTTCAGTATTGCTAAAAAAAATACTTTCTGTTTGGGTCCAATTTACTCCAATTGGGCCAGTTCATAAATGATTTAAATATGAGCCCAAGGTCAAGGTTCAACTCAATGATACAAGGAACGAAATTCGATACGAAACGCGGGACGGAAACGGAAACGGGAAACGCTACATTGAGTGAATCGGGAACGTTGGGTGTAGTTTAATATATATATATATATATAATATTAATAATAATAATAATAATAATAATAATAATAATAATAATAATCTGAAAAAAAAACTAAAAATTAATTTGAAATTAAAACATTGATTTTCATTTCATCCAAAAAACATTCATATTTCCCGTAAAAAAATAGTTAAAACATTAATCACTTGCAAGTTGTCCTTTTCAGTTTTCAAGACTTCAAGTTCCCAATAAGCTAGTGTAATGAGTAGGAGACTTAGAGACTAATGACATTAGTAAGTTTAGCACAAAAAAATGACATAGTAAAAACTCAGTAAACTAAAAAAAGGTGTAAATAATAACTTTATATGAATGTATATTCCTATTTCCTATATTGAGGGCCCAATATAGTAAGAAGTTCAAAAAGAAGTTTTGTCTCATGCATAATGCCCCCTCAACTTTTTCTTTTTCACTTTATCATCTTCAACAGCTGTATCATCTTCAACCTCGCGAACTCGCCATTATCAAACACGGTAAACCTTCAATTTTTGCCACTATTGACTCAGAAATTCGACCTTGCTGAAGAAGAATTAAAAAGGGAACGCTTCGACTACGAACTGAGTCGCGAACCCTAGCGATTTGGGTCGCGTTCGTTCCGCGATTCGGTACGAACGACTCAGATCGCGATTCGCCTCAACGTCCCGCGTTCCCTGTATCACTGGTTCAACTCTCCAATCCATGCCAAGTCAAGTCAAATAGTCCAATCAACGTGGCAAGCCCACTTGGCTCGTGGCCCATCTCTCCTATTGTTTTTTGGTGTTTAGAGAGCCACAAAGGCGGAGTGAGAATCGATCTGATCTCCTGGAATCAGGAGGGAAGCTCTAACTACTTTAGCTATCCTTCACCCTCTCTATTGTGCAAAGGTATAAAAGCCATTAATCTCCTCTCTCTACATTCATTCACTAAGAACCTCAAGCAATTAATACTATTGCATAGCTTTCTCTCTCTAAACACTATACTAACTTTGGTATCGGAAGGACCTTCCTTATCACAACCCCCGAGACCAGTTTACGTGTGTTTGCTATGCAGGAAGCCCTCGGCCCAGTTATAATTTGGACCGAGTTCAGTCTTCAGCCCACCAGAAAGGACCAATCCGAAGGTTCCATTGTATTCCGGAACACTCTCCGTTCTTTTTTTATTGCACCATGAGTGATTTCACTTATGTCAATGGATTACTTTGCCTAATAATATCTTTAATTATATTTTAGTAATAATTATAAATTTTGATATTTGAAAGGTAGATTTTAAGATGAATCCAACTAGATCCCAAATAACTATGTTTTTCCTTATGGATAAATCACAAATGAAAAAGTTTTTATGGTGCAATAAAAGAAAAATGGAGGAAATAAAAAAATTTAATCATTCCTTAGCTTGTCTTGCATCATTTTCCACTTGATAGTTTTGTTTAGTTATACCATTCCAAAAAAATAGGATGCCTTAAAGGACAGTACAATTCCTAAGAATCAAGGGAAGGATAGAGAAATTCCCAAACCCGAGATCAGTTTGGAGACTAGGGAATTAGGGATGCATTGGACTTTAGGCATTTCTAAAGATGGCTTTGTGGACTTAAATTAGCCCATTAAGAGGGCTAAAATGGGGTCCATTTTGGTACCCAAACAATGTATATTAAGTCATTGCTAGACAATACATAGTCAGAATCATATGCGAGTGTAAAAAAAATGGTCGAGGTAGTAGTAGTATAGATTATAGACAAAGCACAACATGATACATCCAGCCTAATCCGACAAAATTCGGCCTAACTAGAATATTGATCTGATTAAGATTTTGACTTGCATGCGGACAATGATTTAATGTGGCTCACATTCGAACTATACTCGACCCAATCAAACCCGACCATACTTGACCGGTGACCCGAACTGACACTTCTTCAATCTAGTAGATTATTCTACTAGATAAATCAATGAATTATTGCTTCTAATTGATTAGATACTTTTGATGATGTAATTATGTAAATGTCAATGCAAATTCAAAGATAGTGCTCCACTAAAATATATAAATTGTATCATTGGACCTCATGCTTTTGTTTCTCCAATAAATTGTATTGCAAGTGTGCACACAGTCTTAGGAAAATTATATGTACTATTATGGTTTGAGAAAGTTTTCGTAATACCCCTAATATTTTAGTATTATATCTATATATTTTACAAAGAAAACTCTGGCTTAATTTTTACTTTCTCTCAAATTTACAAGTTTTTTTTATTTTTTT